GAAGAAGAAGAAGAAGAAGAAGAAGAAGAAGAAGAAGAAGAAGAAGAGGAAGAAGAAGAAGAAGGAGGAAGAGGAGAAGGAGGAGGAAGAAACCATGATGTAAAAAGGATGGAACATCTAAGCTTTTTTTCAATTTCGAACCATTACATTTTTTTTTTTTTCCTAATCAGCAAATAAATTAGTGCACAAATAAGCAGATAGTCACATGGTGAGCAGCTGTGGACTGTTTTTTTTTTTTTTAATAAAATCATATGAAACCTCAAAGGATATTAAATACATGAAACAATCGGATGCACAAATGCTGATTTTTGTAAAAACAAAAACAAAAACCCCCAAAATGTTAGAATGCTCGCTCAGTTTACGTACGTATAGGTGAGGTAGCCCTGGGTTCCAGAAGTCAGGTCTCCTCCAAACTCCAGGAGCCAAGGCATCCTTCCTGCAGCTGCTGGAATCACAGTTAGGAAAAGGCCCTTGGGGACAAGAGTGCCTCATCCAAGGTCACTACAACCTCCCACTGTCATCTGGAGTGGGCAGTGCTGATGGTGTGAGGGTCAGCCCCAGGGCTGGGCTGGGAACACTTCCCACGTTTCCAAGCCCCTTCCATTTAAAGTACTCCGTTTTATTTATTTATGATGGTTGTAGGCATGCTCACAGCCATGGGCTGTGAAAGTCAAACCTCATCACCCACCATGTGGGTTCCAGGGAGACAGAATTCAGGGAGATGGCTTAGCAGGTTAGGGTACCTGTCTCCAAGCCTGATGACCTGATTCAAGACTTTTCCCTTTAACCTCTTTCTCTCTGCTTTGTTCCCCTCCATAGGTTCTGACCCAAGAACACTTCTATTGAGTCTCTTTCTTATTAGCCTTCCACTTCTGGGGGAGGGGAGGGTGTCTCAGAAAAACAAACAACAACGACAACCAGCTAGAAGGCTAACATCAGCTTTCTTATGGTTTCTTATGATTGGGAAAAGAAAAGAGCCGGGTGAAGGAGGTCAAGGTTGGGAAGGACATTTCATGATCTGCCTTTTTATAATTAAAAGAAGTGTACCAGTGGTTGCATGACTCATGCAAATTACAAATGAAAATGTAAACTTGATACGGCTATCATATTTTAGAGTTATCCATGTATGTGTTTGGAGAATCTTTTTGTTAAGTTAGGAAAAGAGATTTAATTTGTATTAAAGTTTTATTTTACTTTTAATTATTTGTGTGTGAATGTGGAGTGTGTGTGTGTGTGTGTGTGTGTATATTAGACATGGGTGCAGTGCCTGAAGAGTCCAGAAGAGGGCAGTAGAGCTCATAAAAGTTGTAAAAGTTACTAGCAGTTGTGAGCCACTCAACATGGCTTCTAGGAACCAAAGTCAGTTCTTCAACAAGAGCAGTCAGTGCTCTCAACTGCTGGGCCAATTCTCCATCTCAGGAAGACTTATTTTAATCCCAAATCCTGTGTCCATCACACTCTAAATGTTCTTTTCTCTTCTCTTGTTTTCCAGTACCTACAGAGAAAGTCTGCATTGATTTCATCTCATGATGGAATTTCAGAAGTCACCCGATGGAGGGTGGGGCTGGGTGATCGTGGCCGTCTCCTTCTTCACTCAGTTCCTCTGTTATGGATCCCCATTAGCTGTTGGGGTCCTGTACGTAGAATGGTTGGATGCCTTCGGTGAAGGAAAAGGAAAAACAGCCTGGGTGGGGTCGCTGGCAAGTGGAGTCGGCTTGCTTGCAAGTAAGTGGATATATTCGTTCATAGTCTTACTCTTTAATCATTTAATTATGTTGGCTGTATCATTAACGTTGCACAGGGTATGGAAGGCTTTTACACAGCTTAAGCCTAATGTGTATTTTCCTGCTTGTCACTGAGATTTAGCATTTTTCTTCACTGTGATGAATCTGTGTGAAACTGCAGAATTCCACGTTGCCTACAGTTCATCTCATCATCAGTGTCCTTGCTAAAGTGATGGGCAGCGTGCTAAATGTTGGAAGTGAGATGACAAGGGGCAGGAGAGCTGGCTCCACAGTTAGGAGGGTGTGCTGCTCTTGCAGTAGACCACAGCACCCACATCCAGACTCCCACAACCACCCGCTCAAGGGGATTGGACGCCCTCTTCCGGCCTCTGTGGTACCCGCCACAGAGCCAGCCAGCCTAGCTTAGCTTGGATAAATAAGCTCAGGGTCCAATAGAGACAAGGGAGACTTAACATCAGGAGAACAAGAACAGTAGCGTTGTCTTCTAACCTCCACATGTACGCACGCACACACATGCACACAGGCGCGCGCACTCACACCGCCTGCCATCTAACAAGGAACACACATATTCCCGTGATATACCGTGGACCTAATAATTCAGGGAACGTATGTGGTGCTCTGGGATTTCCACAGTATGCTGGGGATCTCCATGACGTTCAAGCTCTGACTCCCTCTCAGATTCAGTACTAGGATCAGCTCACGTGACCGCCACACCAACTGCCTCAGAAGAATATCACCCAGCAAGGGCAGTCATATCTCACGTGGCGTTGTTCTTTCAGCTCTCCTCAAGGCTGTGTGAAGATGTAGCTTGATAAACGGTTGTCTGCTTCATAGTAGTGGTAGTTTCTGTGCTTCAAGCAAACAGGAAAGGATTTTTGTTATCCTTTTCACTATGACTGTTGTACTCCACTGGCGTCACTGGAGTCGCAGTTTGAGTTCTGCAGTAACTATCCGTTCTGCAGTTCTGCAGTGACTATCACTCTAGCTAGTGTCAAATGGGCTAAGACAGGCAGACGTGGAATGAGTAGGTAACCCCGGAGTCTTCCGGTGTGCTAAGACGGGCGTAGGTGGATAGGTACCCTTGAGTTTCTTCCTGTGCACCAAGACAGGTGTAGATGGGATGGATACCCACGGAGTCAGGCGTCGGCAGGATATGGTACCCGTGGAGTCCTCCTGTCCTATGAACCTAAACCCAGGAACAAAAACCCATCTCCATCCTGTGGAGAAACTAGGGACAGTGAGTATGATGATTTATAAGGTGTTTTTTGAGTTTTAAAATGGATTTATGAAAGTCAGCTTAAAAGAGCCCTACATTAGTCATCCCTTTAAAAAGGTTTGTCTGTTGGCTATAAAGGGGGTTGCTGTGGAAAAAAAAGCAATGCAGGCAGTTGTTAAATTCAAAACAAGATACATAGCCATGGGGAAAACCTTGCGGGCAGGCTCCTCTGACCTTCTCAGATAAGATAACTGAGCATGACTAAACAAATGAAGAAATTCCTGATGTTACAGAGTCAAGAGAAGCAGGAAATTTGGCCAAGATTTGTTTGAAAGTGTTTTTAAACAATAAATATTTCAAGGCTGGAGAGATGGCTCAGTGATTAAGAGTATTTGCTGTTTTTATAGAGGACCTGGTTTGCTTCCTATCCATGCTAGGTGGCTCACAACTACCTGTAACATCTGTTCCAGGACATCCAATGTCCCTCTGTGCTCTGTGGGCACCTGTACACACATAGTGTAAATACACACATTCAGGCACACACATACATTCAGACAGACACACACACAGACACACACAGACACACACACACACACACACACTCACACACACACAATTGTAAAACTAAAATAGGATTGATTGTAAAATTGTCAGAGCACAAGTAGCCGGTAACTGATACATTCATAAAGAGATTTGAAAATATGGCTTTCTAGAAAACAGCCTGGTGTGGAGAATTTTACAGTGTTTCTTTATATTTCATCAATTCTGTTAGCAGACTCTTAAACAGAGCTGTAATTATTTGGGCTCTCAGAAAAGGGTCAAGGATAATTGTAATGATATCTCCTTTAGCACCTGGTAGAAGAACAAGGTTTGTCCTGGAGTTGGTTCAGGAGGGAGGAGAGGGTTGATGGCATCTGGGATGTGGAACACGGGCACTGGTGTAGAAGCTAAAGTTGGTCTCCCTTAAAAACATATCTGTAGCTCCCCAACGACTTCTTGTTCCTAGGTCATCATCTCTATGTCCCTAGGTCATCATCTCCTTGTCCCTAGGTCATCATCTCCATGTCCTAGGTCATCATCTCCATGTCCCTAGGTCATCATCTCCTTGTCCCTAGGTCA